ATTTATTTAGAATAGAAATAAAAATTAAAGGAGAGGAAAAACAATACAAATCAATACAAATCTGACAAACCTATTATTTTTCATAGAGAAAGCAACATTTTTACAAATTTCCTCAAATAAACTTTAACAGAGGTTTTTGTCTTGTTGAAAAAAAAAAAAGTCCCTGGCTGTAAACAGCAAGTGTTATTATCAGCAATCATCAGCCATAATACTAGTGGAGGGTCAAGGGTGAAGAGAAAACAGGGACTTTGTAAAAGGGTAGACATGGCCGGGTGTGACAGGCTAACGGGCCAGGTGTAATCACAGCACTCGGGAGGCTGAGGCTGTAGGATTATGAGTTTGCAGCAAGGCTAGACCACACAGTGAGCTTCAGGCAAGCTTGTCTCAAAATGCAGTATAGTAAGACCTGCTAAAAGAGAAAACACAGATGACACAGAAATGCAAAAGAGGAACATTCAGCCTAGTCTTGAGAACAGGAGTCTTGAGAAGAGTGTGATTTGGGACACAAGTTAGGATCACAGTTGTGCCCTTTAGTAATGTCTGTATTTGTGGCAAATTATATTCCCAGAGCAACATCACCTAGAAATGAACCAGGTCCTATAAATACAGTACTACTCTGAGACCCCAGTAAAGCCTCACCATAGCCTCAGCTTTGATCAGCTTTCTCTAAATTTAGTTTTCTCCCTGAAAACAATGTCCTGCATGTCTTCCATCAATCATGTGTGTTCACCTACACTCCTGAAGGCCTTTGTACCTTACTGCTTTTTTTCAGAAGACGGAGAATGAAACACTCTAATTCTTTTTTAACCCTCAGCAAAGTGAGGCTGCAGTGAATGGTGTTCACATCAAATCTTGAAAGCAAATAAGGCTGATGATGGTGGCAATCTTAAAAATCAGAAGGACTCAATTACCAGCCAGAGTCAAAGGTACCTTTGAGCCACTGGCTCGTGATCTCCTGGCAGTCCACACACGGCCACTGGCATGTGTACTGCAGAGTGTCAGCTCCTACGCTAGAAAGAAATCTAGCAGGCACATAGATTAACCAGTAGCTGGAGTGCTATTCTATTCTAAGATGGCTCTTAGCCCAAGAAAGGGGGATCTGTTGACTAGAGGGTTTCAAACTCCAAGTGAAAACACTAGCAAGGTATATATATTTCTCATAAAAGGAGCACAAAAATAAAAATACTTGAGCAGCCTGAAATTTGCTTAGGAATTGACCAGAACTGAATGGCATGTTTTCTAACATTTCTAAAACTAAATTCAGGCAAGAGGTGTAGGCAAGGTTTATTCTCCAGTGTTTTGTGAAGAGTCTGCAGAGGCTGGCTGAGGGCTGCAAAGGTTCAGTTGCCATCTCCAACATATACAGGCTGTGTGACCTCATACAATTTCCCCATCAATAAATAGAGATGATGGTGACAGTACCCACCTGAACAGCTACATTGGAGAAGTTTATCAACTTCTTAAAAAACACACTTGGAACTATAGAGATGGCTCAGCACTTAAGAGCACTGGCTGCTCTTGCAAAGGACCTGGGTTCCGTTCCCAGCACCCACATGGCTGCTCACAATTGCCTTTAATTCTAGTCCCAGGGGATCCAACACCTTCTGGGCTGGGCTGATGGTGGAAATGAATACAAGCAAGTACAGACTAATCTTTTGGAGTAACAGAAATGCTCTAAGATTGGACCGGGGTGATTGTTGTAATCTATACAATTGTATGTCTATTAAAACTCATTGAATGATGCACACAGTGAGTGAATTTTGCGATACATAAATAAGGCTGTTGGCCTCCATGGGCACCAGGCACACGTGATGCATATGCAGACATTCAAGCAAATACTCATATACATAAAATAATCTATTTTTTAAAGTTAAACACACTTACCATCTGACCTAGTGATTCCACTCCTAGACATCTGCTCAGAAGAAATAAAAACATACATCCCCACCAAAACTCCATGCAAATATTCAAAACAGCATCATTCCTAATGGCCAGCATCTAGAAGAAACCCAAGTCCATCACTGGTAAATAGAAAAGCACAATGTGATACAACCATACAATGGAATACTTTTGCCAACAGAGAGTAAAAAATTGATACATGCTACAACAATGGATGCACCTCAACAGCATGAGAACTAGGCAAAGGAAGCCAGATACAAAAGACTGTGTATAATTCCATTTATGTGACATGTCTACAAAAGGCAGATCTGTAACCGAAAGCAGACCTTTTCTTCCTGAGGCTGGCTGATGGTGGCACTGATTATAAAGTAGCACAGGGCAACCATTTGGGATACTGTAAATGCTCTAAGACTAGATCAGGGTGACAGCTGTAATCTGTACAACTGTACACACCTACTGAAAATCATCGAATGATGCACCCAGTGGGTGAATTTTATGGTGCACAAATAAAGTTACTGAAAAAAATACTACTACCTCTGGGTTGTTATGAGATTAAACTAATTAATATTTATAGAGTACTTAGAATAGTATGAGATATGGTAAGCTCAATATGTGCTTGCTAAATAATAAAATAAATGCTTGTGACTGTGAAGTTCATTACAGGAGTAAATTACTAAAACACTAAGCAGAGAGAGGGAACTGGAACTGGGAGAAGGCTTTGAGTCCTCAAGGACCACCCTAGAGACACTTCTGCCAGCAAGGCCACACCTCCTAAACCTCCCCAAGCAGCACCAGGAACTGGGAACTGAAACACCTGACCGTATGGAGGCCATTTCTCATTAAAACCACAACACTGACCCAAGGAGACAGCTGTCAATGAACCAAGAAGTGAGCTTTAACCAAACACCAAATCCACTGATGCCTCAATCTCCAACTTCCTGACTTCCACAACCATAAAAACCAACTTTTCTTGTTTATAAACTACCCCATCTATGATAGCTGTAATGCCTCCAATGATTAAGAAACTATATGGTTTATTTCCTGACGATCCCTCAAGTCTTCACTGAAAGTCACTTCACCTAAGTAGGTTTCCCTGAGGCTTCTTTTTTCCACATTGTCTCAGTCCCCATAGCATGGACACACACACACACACACACACACACACACACACACACACGCATAAATACACACACATTCATATACACTCACACATACACATTCACACATACACATACTGCATACTTACTGACTTTATCAATTAACTTCTTGCCTTTGAACTGCCACAGAAGAGTTAACTGAGTGTTTGTATCCCGAAGCCCTGAGAACAGTACATGTGGTAGAAAGGACTCGATAAAGTCCAGTGATGTGTATTTATTCATCCATGATGATTTCAACACCACCTAGCTACATTTGCCAACCCCATCACATCAAAGACTTTCCTGTGCCAATTTTCCGTTGGTCCCTGTCACTGCCAATCTCAGGAAGGACCATTAATCTGCTCTCAGCAATTTTTACATCTTTATTTACTGGGTGGCATGTGCATAGTGGCAAACATGGAGTCTTCAGGCTTTGTGGCAAATGCTTTTACCCACAGATCCATCTTACTGGCCCTCCCCTTTATCATAATATTTAACACAAGTGGGAGTCAGAGAACTGCTACTTGCATCTTGGTTTTTTGTTGTTGTTTGTTGGTTGCTCGGTTTGTTTTTAAGGCTGAGGGGCTGAAGAGATGGCTCAGAGGTAAAGAGTCTGGCTGCTCTTGTAGAGGACCCAGGTTTCATTCGCAGCACCCACGTGAAGGCTAACAAGTGTCTGTAACTCCAGTTCCAGGGGATCTGATGCCCTTTTCTGGCCTCTGTGAGCATTTCATCTGAGAAATTAAGAAAAACTGTGTGTGATCCCTAACACAGCTACTTTGATTTTTCACTTTATTTTGCTTTTGTCCATGTGAACACACAATTTACAAAGGTGTAACTACAGCACGTATACACTAGGCTGAGCTGCAGTGTTATCACACTGCTTTGTCCTGATGCAGTCTGAGACGTGATGCTATCAATCGCGTTCAAATTGAGTACCCTACTTTGCCAAAGTTTCTCTCTCAGAACGATAATAACATCAACTGTCTCACATGCTGGAGTGGTTTCTCCAGTGAGAGAGCTGGCACATGGGATATCACAGCACCCTTGTTGAATCCCCAGGAAAATGTCAATCCTGAGAACTAGTGTTATAAATATTCAGTTGGATCTTGGCAAACATTAAATCTTAACACTGTGTCACACATGCTGCTACATAGCTTTCATAACTGACGTTTTCCTTAAATGAAAGTACAATCTGCATTTTGTGATGTGTCACATAACTGTCTCCTAATCTCCCATCCTAGAACAAGTTCCTAAGGACAATCCTTCCTCTTTCCATTTTTCTTTCTTCCTTTTCTGTCCCTTCATTTTAACCTCCATCCCTTCTTCCTCCCTTCATATTTGTCTTTCTTTCCTGGTGCAGTTTGCACCCACATGGGTTTTTACAAAGCACACGGGTATTGATGTTATATTCAGCAAAAGCTCTCTCTCCGTTCTGTCAGTCAGGTAGCTTCACTCCTCCAAAGCAACCCGCTTTCTCAGTGTTCTGGCTCTACTCAGCAACGTGGCACACTACTGCAGTGATGCCTTCCCAGTCTCCCTAGTGTAGTCATGGATGTCCCCACGTCTCTGAGCAGTACCTAAAGTAGCAAGGGTTAGGGGTGATTAAAACATCTGTAGGCAGGGCCTGGTGGCGCACACCCATAAATCCAGTGCTTGAGAAATAGAAGCAGGAGAATTATGAGTCCAGGCCAAGACCGAGCTATGCAGCCGGTTTGAGGTCACAGAACTATGTGTGTGTGTATGTCTATTCACCCACAGAGCATGTCAAAACATAAAAATGATAATATATACTGTTTGATTCTTTGATTTTTTTCACATATGAATATATCAGGTGTGTGTGTGTGTGTGTGTGTGTGTGTGTGTGTGTGTGTGTGTAACTAAACCAAATAGCAAGAGCTGGTGTGAGGACTCTGCAGTTAAGAGCACTGACTGCTCTTACAGAGGGCCCAGTACCTACATGGAGGCTTCAACCACCTGTAATTCCAGCACCAGGGGGGTTAATGCCTCTTCTGGCCTCCATGGGCACCAGGCATACACATGATGCACACACATGCACACCGGCCACCATTCAAATAATAATAAATAATAAATATTCTCACAGAGGAGGTAATTCATATTTCCACATGTCTTTAGACCAAAGAATCCAGCTTTTATCTCCCATAAAAGGAGTTGGAGGAAGGTTCACCCCATGTGACCTAGCTGACATGCTTGGAGTCACAGGGGCAGGATGGCACCAGAAACAGTAACGTTTATAATTCAAGGTTGACTTAGGTCTGGGCAGCCAAGAGGCTGGGCTAGCCTGCAGGTGTGAGGGGGAGGGAGAGGTGCTGCATGGCCACAGCAGGTATGGCCTATCAGCTCTGCCTGGAGAGAGGCTACAAGTTCTGTTGCCTGATGTGTGGGAGAGAAAGAGCAAGGGTTGGGCAGCTGTGAGGTCTATAACTTAACAATTTGTTGTGCACAACTAAGAATTGTTTCATTTGTTCTATTTCATTCAGTTTGTTGAGAAATTCCTCTCATCCACCAGAACTGAAGGCTAGCTCACTCCCTCTTCAGCACCCTGTGGTGGTTTGAAGGAGAAAGTCCACCAGAGACCCACATATTTGAACCTTCTGTCCTCAGTTAGTGGTGCTGTTTGCGAGGTCATGGAATCTGTAGGTGCTCTCACCTTGCTGGAGGAATGTGTCATTGAGGGTGGGCTTTGTGAGTTCATAGTCTCAGCCCACTTGTGCTCTCTCTGCTTTGTGTTTCTGGTTGCAGATGTGACCTCAGTTTCCTGCTCCTGCAGTCACACCTCCCGCTTGCTGCCATGCCTCCCTGCCATGATGGACTCATCCCTCTGAAACTATGAGCCAAAATAAACTCTTCCACAAATCACTTGGGGTCATAGTATTTTATCACAGAAAATAGATAATACAGAAGTTTGTATCAGAGTTTATAGTGTTGCAGTGAAGAACTTGACCATGTTGTTTTTCGGAGGAATGTAGAAGACTTTAGAACTTGGGGCTAGAAAAGCAGTTGAATGCTGTAAGTAGAGCCTAATGGGCCATTAAAGTAGGAGCCTGGAAGATGGTAGTGCTGAGATCAATGAAGACAGAAGAGGTGTTACCATCTTGAGTTCATAATCAGATTCATTTTCTCTTCTAATTAAAGACTTAGGAGAAAGAATCTCAGACATAACAGGCAATAAAATCATTAAAAGTAAAGAAATTCATACATACACACACACACACACACACACACACACACACACACACACAGTCATAGAGAAAAACTATTTTCCACAAGTAGGGATTCAAAAGCCAAAAAAACCCTAAGTCCCCCAAGTCCTTTAAACCTTCTTGGTGATAAAGGGTAGGCCGTCCTCCCCTAATTTTAGATTGGTCAACTTAAACAAAGAAGAAAGAGTCGATAGGCCACAGCTCCAAGCTGAGCTGTGTCCCGGACTCACCTTCCTTGGCTAAAAATGATCTGGATCAGTCAGATGGAAGAAGTGGCCTGCTGGTGAGAGAAAGGCACCAGGCCTTTGTCTCAGGTGAAGAAGAAGCCAGAAATCTGACATCTTTGTCACTTACCAGCGGCGTCCCTTCTTGTCTGCCTGCCTGTCAGGGAATTAGTCCTTCAGCGGCTTGGCTCAAGAGGCTTCAGAGGGAAGCAAGGACCTTCACCACAATGGGGCTACAGGCCACTCATGTGGCATTTTAAAAAATAATCTGGCTGCCTTTTGATCCTGTTCTAAGAATCTGCCTAAAAAGTAATGAATTTTTTTGGCAGAGGAAATTTCAAGACAACATAATATTGATGAATCTGTAGCTTGGTTATTATTGGTAACACACAGGTCTATAATGAAAAAGAGCAAGTGGGACAGAAAGAAATAGAAAATATATAGTTTGGAGACAAAAGGAGCACTAGGAGGCTTGATATTGCAGCCAAAACATGTGCTGGAAGAGAGTCTATAATTGCTAAGGAGAATAGCACCATCAAGAAGAGATCTTCAGGGAAAGGCCCCATTCAGCTAAGCTTCCAACTTGTCAAAGGCAAAAACCTAAGAGCTTTCTGTGAGAAAACTACAACATACAGAAGTTGCTGCAACACTATTCAAGCGGGCAAGGGTCCATCCCAAACTAGCAGCAGAACTTGGCCGTGTCATTCATGTGGTACTGGCTTGGGGGCAGGCATGAGAGATGCAAGAGTCAGGGGGTCCTGGAGTCTTCCTCCTTGGCTTGAGAGAGCCACTGAAGGTAGATTATGCAGGCCAGTGCTAGCTAGAGTCACTACGAGAAGGTCCTGAGGGACAAAGAGACTTTGAGAGACTATTGTATGAAGCTGTGAAAATGAAGCCTGCACTGCAGTGGAGACCCCAAGATGCTGGAGATAGCAGAGCTGTGAGACATCTGCCTAGGAAAGATGGATACAGAGTGGAACCAACCCAAGAAAGAGGCGTCAACACAGCAAAGCTGGAGGAGTAGAGTCGCTGAAACTCTGAAACTAAAGCCCCAGACATTGGACATAAACCTACAGGATTTGGCGTTTGTCCTGCTGGGTATCAAGTCTTTCTTTGGTCCTGTACTTCCTCATTATGCCCCCATTCCTCTCTTTTGGAATGGAAATGCATCTTCTGTGTCATTGTATGTTGGGAGCATATAATTTGCTTTTAGATTTTACAGGGGCTTAGAGTTAAGAGATTGCCTTGTGTCTCAGGAAACACTTGGACTTTAAAGCTAGACTGAATTAATCTTGCATTATGATATGGCCATGAGCCTCTGGGGGGAAGGGAGTGGAGCATGGTAGTTTGAATGTCCCCCTGAGGTTCATGGATTTGAACACTCTTTCCCAGTTGGCAGTGCAGTTTGGGTAATTATGGAATCTTTAGGAACTTCAGCCTTGCTGGGGGAAGTATGTCACTGGGGGTGGGTTTGACAGTTCATAGCCTCATCCCTCGTCCAGTGTGCTCTCTCTATTTTGTGTTTGTGGTTGAAGATGGGACCTCTGCGCTTCCTGCTCCTTCCTCCATGCCTACCACTTGCCGTCACACCTTCCCATCATGATGGACTCATCCCTCTGGAACTGTAAGCCCAAATAAACTCTTCCACAAGTTGCATTTGGTCATGGTGTCTTATCACAGCAACAGAAAAGTAACTAGCACAGACTCCATGCACTGCCTATGGGGGGGGGGATGCTATA